AGTAACAGGAAAGTTCCGACAGAAACACTAGGTAAAAATGAGGGAGAACATAATGAGAAAAACATTCAGTCGATAAAAATAATGACTTGTAATGGAATTCATGATTATTTTCTTGTAACTTATCTAAAATTGTCATGAATAAACTGACAGAGAGATCGTTCGTATTTGTAAGGTTTGCCATAAATTTAAGGCCTGGATGGTTTACGAAGTTTACCTCCAGTTAATGTAAACGTAGTTATGGGGTGGCTACCACGTCCACCCAGAAAACCCAACATATTCTTGAACGATCAATACAAACAATATACAATACATTAGTATCACAGAAGAATTTATTTATTATTCATACCTTTTAGTGCCCTTTTTTTTCCGTCTTGTTGCAGCTCCGTGACGTTTATGTATCTTCTACCACAGAATTTCCTGGGGGGAAAAAAAAACGTTAAATAAAATCTCCGGAGTGAACCTTCACAGAAATATTCTCAACACTACAAAATGATCTTTCCTTAGTCATGCCTATGTCGCAGCACTATTTTCATAATTGTTTTTCCAGATGTGTGCTTCAGTTTGTTGTCACAGTACAAGGATTATGTCTCCAAACTCACACAGCAGCTTTCAATTTATATTTTCTTTCCTCGATAACATCATAATTTACAAAAAATAAGCCCCGAATGTGTAAAAAAATGCATTACTGATTCGAGAAATGTATGATACATTCATATTTTCCTGGACTGATACTGACTTTCGAAACACTGGATTATACACCACTTACTGGATACCTGAAATAATGACCTAAAGCAATATATGTTTTCAATCAAAAACAAAATATTTTAAATTCGTATTCATTCTCCACTCCGCCTCTGTGGCCTAATGGTCAGAGTTCCTGCCTACATATCTAGCGGTCCCTGATTCGATTCCCGGTGCTACCAGATTTTCTGAGATGTAGTAGGTCTGGAACGGGGTCCACTCAGCCTCGTGAGGATAATTGCGGAGCTATTTCAAGGAAATGGCGACTTCGGTCTAGAAAACCGAGATTAATGGCAGTGGGGATCGGCAAAAGTTGGCACTAACTTCGCCGACAAGCGGCGGTCGCTCGGTCGGTATAGTTCGCTTGCGGACTACAGACCACGGAGTTATTCATTCTCCATCATTGGTGATAGCCGAAAACTATTGAGGTAACAAGTGAGAGCTAATGATGGCTACTATCGAACGTTTCATTCACTATCGCAATGTAACTGACCAATCATTCATGTCAAAACTGTATTTTCTTTGTCTTCATTCTGTCATACTATTCCTGAATTAAAAAAAATACATGAATATACAGCGTTTGTCTGTAACGTGGCTATATTCCATTATTTATTGTTTACATCGATACATATCATGAAAAAATAATTTTAAATTATTTTTAAACTGCCTTCGTAATGAACGATTCTCGTGCGTCTACTGCATGACAAATTCAATAGAAGAAAAGTGCGCTGTAGCGAATGAATCCATTCGATTCCTTAAAGAGGAATTAACTGGCCTCTTCATGTAATATTTTCACCATAACAATTTAATATGTCAATTTTATACGTATATATTTATATTTTTGTTGATATTTATATTTACTTTTATATTGAAGACCAAGACTTGCCATAAAGTGAGTTGAACGATCGTTAATTTCGGATTTCATGTTCACCTCCCCTCACTAGCTGGAAGGAACCAAGAAAGTCAGAATTATAGCGGAATAGTCCGATAAAGGTAAAAGATAAAACTATCCCTGTAACAGGCCGTGAAAGCCCATAGGTTTGTGAGACGTCGAGGCTCCCATATTTTCTCTAGACAATCGGCTCACAGATGGCGGTTTACACCTCAGGAAGATTCCTGGTACTCATTTCTTTTAGAGGTTGAGTCGGTCCCAAGGCCATAGTGCGGATGGAAGGATTAGGTAAATTGAAAAACTAATGACCTCATCGGGACTCGAACCCTCGACTTTCCGGTTTGTAGCCTAGTGTCTCAAACAACTACGCTACCGCGTGTCCCCGCGGAATAATGCGATATAGCACCTATCTTAATGAGTAAAGCCAAAAATTTCAGTGCATTAAGCTTAATAATTTCATCCGAATTCATTTACATACTATAATATTCCAGTAGCGTTCTACTGATTGCACCCAAGATATGTGTAAGCATTGTTGAATTTGTTTATGGACTTCGATTGGTTCAAGAATCTCTCACCATAGGGGATTTCAGTCGAACCAGAGTAATATTTTTCTTCCACGCAAGTTTTGCCTTCAAAAATCGACAAAGAATGAAATGGTGGAAATAGTTTTGGTTGCTGAAGTCCAAGCGCTTCAAAACAATCAATTGCTACTAAAGACAGCCGATCACAGTTGGCGTGCGGTGTAAGGCATGAACTGTTTTCGCTCGCTCGAATCCTGGGATCGTGGGTTCGAATCTCACTCAAGGGTATGTATGTCTGCGAGCGTTTATTCTGTATTTCTGTTGTTCTGTGTGTAGGTAGCGGCCTCGCGACGGGCTTATCCCCCGTCCAAGGAGTCCTACCGACTGTGCATACGATTAAGTAACTGAAAAGGCGGCCAAGGTCCAACAAAAGGACTGTACAGTCATAGATAGACTACTAAAGACAATGAGCAGCTCATATGGATCCTATAATTAATGAGACAACCATTACAAGGTTTGCCCTGCGGCGTATATCGCTTGCGCATCCTAAAAATTAAATTTAATATCATGAACTTTTCATTAAACCTACATTTTTAAATATAAATATAGGATATCTGCATTCATTCCAAACTATAAGAGGAGTATTAATGATTGTAGCGTTTGCTACTACACCTTGAGAAGACAATCATTATTTCAATCAAACTCTTAGGCCCAACCATCATCTTATGGCAGACAAATGAAGATCTGACTTCATAAGTGTATAACGTACACATCAACCACGAAACAATAATACGAATGAACTCAATTGTACCTATAGGTTATAGAGTATATATAGAATTATAGAATGAATGGAAATTCACCCACAAGTTATCCATAGTTCGGTTGCTTGTTAAAGGAAAAATTCGAAAGCATTGTGCAACATGTTCTGTGCAGTTTAACGTTCAAGATACACGTCCCCGTCAAATGGCGCAAGCGTTCAACTGATCAAATCATGGGCTTCTCATAGTTATAAGTGTTCGAAGTGGCCTCCGTCCGTCAAGGCAGACGGCAGCGCGCTGCATGGCATTGTCTCGAACACGCCTTAACATGTTGTCATCGGCCGGTGTCACAGCGGTCACAGCTGCTTTAACTCCTATCACGAGATCTTCCATAATCCGGGGTCGGGCTCTATAAATGTGCTACCTTAGGTGTTCCCATAGATCCGGTGACTGATGAGACCATGCACTCGGCTTCGCGTTCATCCACTGCCTCACGTTTTTCCATAGTGCACTGCATACCCGTCGTGATGAAACCACAACCTCTATTTCGAAGCTAGAGGCCCAACTTCAAGCAGCCCCGGTAGAATAGTTTCGAGACAATCTCGATATCTTCGAAGAGTCAATCTGTCAGGTTACAGACAGTAGCTCATGAAAATGTCCTTGATGATTCCAGCCCAAACGCTGACGCTGAAACTGACTTGATAGCATGAGGATTATCCCATGCCCAGAGGTGACTGCTAATGGGCGCGCTCCGCGAGTAGTGGCATAAATGCAATTGATCGTCATGATGTATTTCGAGGATCCTCTGTTGAAATACTCCCGATTCTGGGTGCAATATCGCGAAAGCTTCTCCACGGCTTTAGTTCCACGACTGCAATTATGGCATCTTCGTTGGCTTACGTCCGCTCAGTCCGTGGGGGACCACCATTCACTTGTGCCGTAGGTGTTAACACCTACTGCCCTTCGGAGACGCTACTCCGGGTAGCGAAACACCCTGGGCTCTGGATCACGTCGAGTAAGTGTACCGCGTCTTCCTGTGCAGCAGTACCAGCTCGAGTATAACAGATACCGAGGGTTAAGAGTATGTCGGAGTATCTGTTGTGTCTGTATTCCATGATCATTCGACCACAAACGACCCCTGCCGTGCACTGTGTCTTGAGGATGCCTGAAAGCAAGCTACGTATCATCGTGACAAATAGGCCCAACACCGCCGAAACGTATGTTACCCCATTTGACGATGACATGTACCTCGAAAACTAAGCGTCTCAGGTCATATGTTATTTATCATTTTCAACAAGGAATTGCATTACGGCGACTTCTTGCTAAAGTTTCTTTCACATTATACGAGTATATACTCGTATAAACCGAGATTAGTTACGTAAAGTTAGTTGGAGTGGCTCAGTCAGTGACAGTACTAGTATCCAGATTCGGTAATAAGTTATAAAACGTCTACGACTGGTTAAATAAACTTCCAAATTAAAATGAGCTGTAAGAATGATCATAACACAATTTATTGTTAGTATACGAGTAATCGTGTCCTATTTAACGTGATTGGCTCTTTTGTCTTTTGGCATACGCCATACTGCCTTTCATTGATGCCGAAAAACACAATGGTCCTCACTTGTCTAAATTTCATTCTAAGATAAGAGCTACAAATGAAATCTACTACGGTCGACACTAACCTTGTCTAACTTCACACCTTAATACAATGCGAAACACCACTTCAACGTGTAATATGCATTCACATACACAGAGACACCGTCTAGTAACCGTATTCAACTGCTAATGATGATGGTACTGATGTTTATACGATAAGAAAGAAATTTGTCGTGACCATTTATGCAACTTTTACTCATGGCTGTGAAGGCGGTAAACACTTCAAAACGAAAGTATGAAAAATATAAAAATTCGGCTTTGCTGAGTTTGTTGATTCAGTTGGTATTAATAGCATTCGGCATGCGTTTAGCTATCTTTTCACATACATCCTATGTTACAATACTGCAATAAATTAGTTTCATACTACAGGAATAACGTAATTAATACGAATGTCCCATCAAGTAAATTGAAAAGGCTGAGAAGAACAAGAACTTCGTAACAGTTGGCAGCATGTAGGGTACCAGAAATGTTTTTATCGTGCGTTTCGATTGTTTGCATTCAGTCAAATTTCTTGTGCTCCGGGATATTGATGTATATGGAGAATTATGAATCTTTTGCCAAAAACTCATGAAGATTTTGGGGAAAAGGAATATTGGAATGCCTTCTTCAGGAAAAGAGGGTCAAAGGCGTTTGAATGGTAGAGCTGTAAAATCGTGGGAATTTCTAACCTTGTTTGTACCTAACCTTAAAAGCTTTCTATATAATAATATAAATAAATGTATTTATCTTCCTGTGTAGGTATGGAGAGTATCCAGAACTATGTGGCCTTCTTCATAAATATATTAAACCAAAGGATGTAATTCTTATGGTAGGATGTGGGAATTCGACACTAAGTGCTGATTTATATGATGTTGGATATAGGTAAAAGACCCATTGACCTAAGAATATAACTGTAACCGCATGGTAACTCAGAAATCACAGGATGTTATGACTACATACATTGTAACAACTTACCCATTGCCTTGTTAATTGCAGGATACAAGATATAAGGAAATTGATTGACACTTTAAAGATGCAAATGATTGACACTAGTGATATTAGGTACCAACATGTACAATAGTATTCTTCAGTTTTTGCACACTTGAGGTTGAATGTATTAACAGCCAATGGTAATTCAGGGGCATGTTTTCAATACTGATTTGTTAAGCTTTTAGTCTTTTTAAATCATGAAGTAATACGTGGAGTACATTTTTTTAACATTTATTTCAGATGCATAACAAACATTGACATAAGTCATGTAGTAATAAGACAAATGCAAGATGCCCATGGAAAGGATCGCCCCAACATGGTCTATCAACAGATGGATGCACTGAACATGACTTTTAGTGATTGTCAGTTCAGTGTAGTTCTTGACAAAGGAACATTGGATGCACTTATGCCAGATGATTCTGAAGATGTCAGAAGAAAAACTGACAAATTCTTTAATGTTTGTAAAACACATTTTATATATTTCCATGTCATAATTAAATAAGAAATGTCTCTTTAATACTGTTTTTTAAATTACTTTATTAATTTCACTAAGTCTCTACTTATTGTACTAGGAAATTGATCGTGTTCTTCGTGTAGGAGGCCGTTATATTTGCATATCCTTGCTTCAAGAACACATCCTTGCAACATTACTGGAATTCTTCCCAACAGCAGGCTGGATGTTCCGGGTGTGTCGATGCATTGAAGCTGAGCAAAAATCACCTCAAAGTGGAGATGGAGCAGGTTTACCAGTCTTTATTATTGTTTGCACCAAATTCAGGAAACTTCCCAGTGTTCAACCTGTAAGTTAATTACCTTGAACTGATTATCTCTTTTATCATTATCAAAAGATTCAACCAGTGTATAATTTTCTGACATGTAGTTGTACTAAATACTGGTTGGACGTTGTATTACTGTCCTGAGTGTAAAACACAATTGTGACAGTACATTGTCTGTGATAAATGATATAAAATCCAAGCTCACATTCCACGTAAAGAAACATAATTAAATTGGATGTGGGAAATAGGAAGCATGAACCCATTTTACATACATACATATATCAGTTTTCAGTATCTGAGAATAGAATCAGCAGTTATCGAGGATGTGATAATGAATATGTCATTGGTGTATATTCTCCCAAGTAATCCATACTATGATGACACTGGTGAAAGAAACACCCCATAATTTTTATTTAATATTGAACTGCTGGTCTCTCAATTCTGATTTAATGGGCTTCAACACATGTTGAACTTGTTTGAACATACTCCATTTTTTCTTTCGTGTCCTATGAAGCATTCTGAGCTGGGATAGCGCAGTCGGTATAGCAACTGCCTATGGGCTGAATGCTCGAGGAGTCGGAGTTCTGAGTCCTGGTAGGCTCAAGAATTTTCTCTTCTCAACAGACCAGCTCTGGGGCCCACCCAACCTCCTATCCAGTGGGTACCAGGGGCTCTTTCCCCGGGATTAAAGCAGCAGGGACATGAAGCTGGCCACTCACCTCCAATTTTTATATATTACTGCATACTAGTCTTGATTTCAATGTATTATATAATTAATGTATGTTATACAAAACTCATTAATGACATTATGTTTTAATTATTGAATTTTTAATTAATAGACTTTCATAAAACTGTACAAATTGTATAAGGTTAGCCATTACTTTTACTACTAAAATTAAGTTATTTATTATATTGTATATGTTTATAACTATTTTATACAAATGTGCATCCTATTGGATGACAACTGTAATCCTTAGTTCTGACTGTAACTAGGACGATCTCCACATCCGCATGAGAATGTACTCTTGACAGGATTTATGGAAGGTGAATAAATGAAATGAAATGCTAGTGTCGAGGTCAAGAAAATATGGATCTATACATCCGCTCCTCCATGTGCCCTCATGTCATAAAGCACAGGGACAGCTTTATCTTTTAACTTTACCATGAAGCATTATTAAATAACTCATAAATCAGTTGGTAATAATTCTAAATGTATGCAAAGAAGACACATTTTAGTTACTGGCAAAATTGATTCATTTGAAAATAAAGAATAGCTACAATTAGTAATCATTTATAATTCAACGAGAAATTTCAAATTTATTCTTCTGAGACAAAAAGTCTTTCTTCACGCTTACAGGTTGAGGTATTTCACATTTTTATTTCATTACTGTTTATGGCCCTAACTTGCACATACTCGTACTCTGTTCAACAGACATTGTGAAATGCAGTGTGTATTATTTGCTATTCAGGTTCTCTCCACTAAGGATAATTCTGCTTTCAGCTTTACTTATAAGTACACATAGTTCACTAAATTAGTGATTTAAGATTACAGTTTTCTGGGATGCGATGTCATATAGTTTGGTAGGATTGTATTATATTTTTGTTTCCTCTTGTACTTACCTTCTTCCTGAGCTTTATTTTTCCCTTTGACATATACCCATACTAAAGAGACCTTTACAGGGCCACTGATTCCTACTGGTTCACTTATATCCCTGGTCCTCATTGTCCCTTCTATGTGTCTGCCATTTTTCCTGAGCTTGCTGTTCAACCCAGAAGACTGAGGAAGCAGGTTCCTCCAAAACATTGTTGCCTATCTGCCAAACCACAGAGCGTCATATCCTGGAAGTTCGTGATCTTGTGTCTTTAGTGCAAGTACTGTTATTTTCCAAAGAATACCACCTGTGCAGTTTTATGTAGGGAGATTATCTCCGTGACGTACTGAAACTTAATAAAATTCATTACCTAGAGCTGTTTTTCAGAATGTCTCCATTTTGCTTTTGGGGGCTACTCTGAAAGGCCCCAATTTTTGGAGCTAGAATGTTCATATTCACTGGGCACCAACCTATGATAGGCTCTTAAACACTGAACATGAATCAAGTCTGTCTAGTCATTCATTCAGGAACTAGTGAGTTGCTCATTAATCCATACACATACATACATAGACAGTCAGATGGCATTCCAAAAACCACTTTTTTGTATGGGGGGAGGTGATGTTTAAATCTACTAAAATCTCAATATTTATTTTTTTCATCATCATTACTCATGTATAACATATATGAAAAATTAAAAAATAGTGTATGTTCAAATGTGGATCACATTAAGAACCCTTTTTTGAAACTGAAACATTCTTCCTCAAGATCAGTATTTTCCAATTATACTTTTTCATTAGCTATGCAATGTTACCTTTGTGTATGTAATATGCAGTAAATGAACAGTGAGGTATGCAAAACCATAAAAGTGCATGCCATCAAAGCAAACCATTTTGCTCTTGTTCTGTCCTAGCCTAGGTTTCACCGTTTTGTTTCGTCTGGTTCTGTAGGTACTTGAGGTTTGCCTGGCTGGAGAGCATATTCAGAGAGTTGCTTCTTCAGCAGAAGTCATGTCCAGTGTGAAATCTCTTCAACAATCTTCAATGGTATGTGCAAAACTAAAACGTGGAAGTGTGGCAGGATGTGGTGAAATCTTCCTTGATCTCTTTCATCCTGGTGAGACAACTCCACGCTACACAGTTCACGTACTAGATCAGCCATATGCCAGGGAATCTGGAAGACGGTTTGCAGCTTTCATTGTACCACAGGGAAGGCAAGTCTTTGTAATATTAAAATAACGTGTTTCTTAGTTTATGGGTTTAGCCCTTGTGTTGGAATTTAAACAGCCTTCTGCTGCATGTGGAGCAGCTGTTTAAATCTGCATAAACACTATTTTGACCTGCCTTTCTTTTTGGAAATCAAAGGATAGAAACACGAATAAGTTAGATGGAATATCTGGTGAGTTCAAACCTGAATATTCTTAAACAGGATAATGAACTTGCCTTTGTGACTGCCAGCAGGAAGGAGATTATCATTTTGACACTATAGACCAATGAAATAGACATGTACCACAGAGAAATAAGGAGGTGAGTGGGCTGAGGGTCAAATAGCCAAGAGAACACATGGGGACACCTGTAAGAAAGTCTGTACCTGGTGTAACAAAGAAATCAAGAAAGCCAAGAGGTTCTTACAGAGGAAGTGTTGTCAGGGGCTCATAGACGTGCCAGGCAGTGCAAGACTCAGGAAAATTGTGACAAAACAGATGACTAACATGGTAAGCACTATGGAGCTACACTCAGACTGGAAGGGAAACTTTCAAAGAGTTGTTTGGAAGTCTATTTGCCAGATTCATTAATAATTCATGAATCAGAAGTCGGGCTGGGACGTCTGAACCTGGACATATAAAGATGTAAAATGAACAGTGGTCACAGAAACCTGTCCCAGAGTGTAACAAACCAATCCAAAATCACATTGGCTGTAGGTACTTTTAAACCACTAAAATCAGTAGAACAGATGAGATTGTTACCTGCACTCCTGCAGCATGGAGTGAGCATATAATCTCTGATCTGTCCTGTATATATTCAGAGCTGTCTGGCATATGGATATATTCCTGTATGTTTATATTAAAACTTTTAAAGTTTTAATACCAGGAAGGCTGCTGCGATTGTGAAAAGTTGAATATTGTGTACATTGTGTATTCCAGGCATTGTGTGTATACGTAATTTAACACTCAGAACACCTATTGTGATAGTAGTTTCCAAATAAGTATTGACGTTCCCTCTGAAGATGATCCGTAAGGATCGAAACATGTAAGGGTGCTGAGTTTCCAAGTGGTAAAACTTAAACTAGTCACACTGGATGGAGCTGTTTTTGTCTTTGCAGTACTTATACCTTTCACCTTTCTCCAGGAAGATAGAAAAAAAGTTCATTGAAGGAACCAGCTCTCTCTCTGGGAAAACAGTTCAGCTGTCTATCAAATTTAAATAACTTGGACTATCTTCAGACAAGGGACTGACTTGGAAAAAGCAGCTGGATAAGATAATAAGGCCCACAGAGTCTTCTGGATCTGCAGGAGTGCATTCTGCACAATTGGGCACTGAGGTTAAAGGTGTTACTTTGGACATACATTACGGTGATAGGACCCATAAAGACATATGCTGCCATTCTGTGGTGTAGGGTAAAATTCAAAACCAGCAGAGCTGAACTTAATAAATTGTAAAGGCTAGCCTGCATGGCCATTACCGGAGCCATGAGGATGGATTAAACTGAAACTGAAGTCCTCCTTGGACACCCTCCATTATGTCTGAAGTTGGAGGCTGAGGCCCAAGCAGGAACTTACAGACTGTTGCAGCGGACAGGGGAATCCCACTGGCAGAAGAGTATGCCTTCAAGGTATGTGCAGCAGGGAATGTAGACAGAGGTTGTAAACATGGAAACGTTTGCATCCTGTCATAACAGTAGGGCAGTGATTAAAATACTTGACAATTGCCAGATCCATTCTGAACTGGCCTGGGACTGCTATCAATCCCTTATCAAATTGAATGTAATGAAAATGCTGATCAGTTTGCAAAAACAGGATCTGAACTGGCATTCAGCATATCAGTAGGAGTTGTCAAGAGGGCCATCAGGGACTGGATGGAGAGAGACCATGGAAAACATTCGGAATCCCCAATAGGACCCAGACACATGAAGGGTTTCCTTCAAGAACCCTTTGCAAAAAGCACTAGGGAACTAGTAACAATCAGATGGGAGCCAACTGAGACAGGTGGCAGGACTACTTACAGGACACTGTCACCCAAATGGACACATTTTCAAGTTGGGACCATTTAAGAACACCACTTATGAAAGGGGCCAGGACAAAGATGAAACAGCTGCACATGTGCTATGTGATTTGAGGCTTTAGCTAACTTACAATTTTTCACATGGGACTTCATTTTATAAAATGAAGTAACTACTTAGGCTCCCCACTAACTAAAGTACAACACTTCATACAAAATGTAGGATTATTAGGGTGCTAAGTGGGAGATACACAATAAATCAAAGTTGCTTACAGTGTTAAGGCTAGTTTGTCCCACCAGTTGCTCTTTCATTCATATTCTGATAGTAAACAACTGCAGAAATTATTTAAATGTTACAGAGAGGCAACCTACTTGCTATCTGTGAATGACAAGTGAAAGTGCCAGGGATAATCAAAAAGTGTTATAGGCTAGATACATTATTGCTAAGTGTGAATCATCGTTACCTGTCAGGAGTCTCACCCAGCATTCCCACATAATGATCCAAATGGTAAATTTTAATTTACCATGTTAATTTCTCCGCCAAATATTATTTGATATTTTTACTGACAGTTTATGGAGATTAACCCCCATTTTATTTAAACAGATCAGAAAATCTTTCAGTTAGTTTTTATTTTTGCAGGGAGACAGAATGGCTCTTTGCAACTCCTGAAGGCCGCTCAACATTGCTGAAATCTGCAGGTTTTGATCGACTGGCTGTAGTAACGTTACACAGGGACCAAATATATAAAGGACTTGATGCTGTTCAAGAGGAACTGACTGATAGCATCTTGCACTTAGCCCCACCTGGCCTTGACCAGAATACTCAAGTAATTACCTAAAGTATGCTTCGTCTGACGCATCCGAGGGTATGTCATACCTTGAACCAGCAACCTTACTGGAGAAAAATCCTGTGTGTTCAGTGAGATCTTCAGTATGCTGACTTTGCTTCCAGTCATATGCTGAAAATAAAGTCTATTATTAACTTTCTAATGACATTATCTGCTTCATTATTTGATGATGACACGCAATAGCAAACATTAACAATCTGTAAAAAAAACTGAATTAACCTGTCCAAGACTGCTGGATCCATTTAAGAGCAACAAACTTTGATTCTGAGATCACTGGGGCTCAAGTGTATCCAACTTCTACTCACATTTCATCATCACCTCTCACGGTCTTCATTCCCTTGTAACAAGAGCTGAAAAGAAATACCTGTAGCGGATGTAACGGATATCAACGCCATCATTCCCATACATTTGAGTGGCAGAGTTATTATCCTTTATACTGCATTGTATTTACGTTCTCATAGTAAGAAAATGTTTACAATATATAATACATACTTGTATCGGATTATTGATTTCAAACATTGGTCTTGATAGAGACAGGGAATGTCACTTACGAAGAATGAATGATCTGACCAAGAGTCCATTATGGAGCCCAGGAGCCAGACCGTCACAGTCCAGGTTAATCCAGAATAGTCAAATAGTTGTAAAAGGTGATAAATACTTGTCAGGAAAGGAGATCAATGTCCCACCCTTTGACCTCTCAGATGTGACATCACAATATCCTACTTTTACCTTCCTTTTGAACCTTACTGTCCCCCACCCCCATCCCTTTTCCTTATATCAGTACTTTATGATGGCATCATAGTATTGAAAGCATCAGTTTTATGCCATGGTGATAGCTCGTAGCCTGCAGAAATATTATTTTGTTGCATTGTCATGCACACTTTGGAATATAATATGTCTGCACAAGAAAGAATTTGTGTAATTATTGTTTTATGTTGTTTCTAATTCCAGATTCCATTCTTGTCTGTTGGATCTGATGTTGGAAGACGGGAAATTTGTTACCGTGGACACAGTCAAATATCTGGAGATTTCATAGTGGAAGAGGTTGAAGGTGATGGAAGGCAGTTGTTCCGAAGACTTATTTTCTTGAATAACCAAGGTGTTATTCAGTCTGAGGCACGTTTGAAATTATGTATGTAATTCTTTTGTCTTCTTAACATACATGACCAAACAGATACAAAAAAAAATCAAATCAACCCATAATTAAAGTAACTGAAAAACATGCTGTATCTCTTAGTGATGTCCTTGGAATTATGCCATTCCATGGGTACTGTGATCATTGAGTCTGCTTTTTGTTGCAGTAAAATCTAGGAAAGGAAAACCTAAAAAAGTAGTTGACACTGGGTACTTGGCTTGCGAGCATCACACTTACATGACAGTTGGTGTCGCTCTTGCTGCGCCAGATGGAATAGAATGTAATGTTGCAGTTATTGGACTGGGGGGAGGAGGGTTATGCACCTTCTTACAACATTGCTTCCAGAAGGTATGATTACTAATCATTCTCACACCAGGGATGATTATATTTCACAGAAATACAGTGATACCAATGAAAATTTCAACTTATTTGCAGCTTATTTAATGGTGCTGCTAGTAACTCACACTGTACAGCATTGAATAAGTGGATGGTGGCAAAAAATGAAATAGAAGGGTATAGACAGGAGCAGCTGTGGCATAATTCAGGCATTTGCCTGGAGGGATTGAGGAAAACCTTGAACCTCAGGAATGTAAGGCATGGAGATGATTTTACAATTTAATCCTCTTCAGTTAATATGTATGTTTTTCTCAGAAAGAATTCAGTGAGTATAAATGCATTTTTTGCATTGCGAGATAGAACTGCTTTATATTTTCCATTGTATCGTCCTTGCCAAAAATGCAGATTCTAATAGAGAGAAAACATATTCTTGATATAACAGAAACAGCAAAGGTAGTACAGTAAAATGAAAAATTTTTGTGACAGAAGTTTAAATTTTGCTAAGCGTTTTTAGGAGCATACGCAAGAATTGTGTAGAGCTCGTCTTAGTTCATTATGTCTGTCAGTCCACATGAAACAATTTGGTTCCCACTGAATGAATATTGCATGACAGTTTACACAAAGACCTACATGCATATTTTGAGAATTTATCACTATCGCTTAAACTCCACTGATGAGAGCACACTGGGGTTGCCATGGGAGCAAAGTCATGGCTAGCCATCTGTTGATTTCACAGATGAAAAAGAACACACCTGCAATATTACATTATATGAACATTGTGTAATATGTTTCATTTTCCATCAGACGTCTTGGAACTCAAAATCTGACACTGCACTCAAGCATTCTCTTACTACCTTAGACGTAAGCACCGTGGGTAATACAAAAGAGTGGAGAAAGGCTAACATCTGTGGAATTTATAGAAAAGCAATACTAATTACAATCAGGGCACTCGGTAGCATAGTTGGTTGAAGCACTATGCTACAAGCTGGAAGGTCACGGGTTCAAGTCCCAATGAGGTCATTGGATTTTTTCAATTGACCTAATCCTTCCAGCCACACTATGGCCTTGGGGTTGACTCAGCCTCTAACAGAAATGAGTAACAGGAATATTCTTGGGGGTAAAGGGCAGCTGACGCATAGGGCTGACAACCTTGCCGCAATCTGTGAGCCGATTGCCTGGAAAATGTGGGAACCTCAACATCTCGCAACTCTATGGGCCTCCACGGCCTGTTACAGGGTTACCTTTACTTTTTTTTTTTTTTCTAATTACAGTGACTTACCACTTCACTAGTCCTGTCATAAAGAGACAGTGAGAGGGGAAAGAATAAAACAAATAAGATGCACGTAATGGGTGAAAGTGGATTTCAATTATTAATTAATTAATCTGTACTCAAAGTAAGGAACAAAAACTGTATAAAATCAAATACAATACACCCTCAACATAATGCAGGGGACAGCTTCAGTGCCCACATTAGAAGTAAAATTGATATAAAACTAATTTAGGAACCTCCTTGATTATGTATACAATGTTATGCCATGGATAAACTGCCTACATGAAGTTTAAGATACACCTCAGATTGTGGTTGAGCTTCTAAAAGAGGTAAAGTTATCCCTGTCCTTAATTAATTAAGCACAATGCCATGTAGACCTGAGGGAATGGAGGTATAGCTCCACTATTCTTGACTAGCTGAAGTTGAGTGGTCAGTTTCTCACCCCAGCCACTTTAGCCCCTGGTAGCCATTGGATAGGATGTGAGAGATGCTTATTAAATTATGTTGCACTGACCACGCAACACCCTCTCTCTACAAAAGTTGGCACTAAACTTCGTCGACAAGCGGCAGTCGCTTGGTCGGTACGGTTCGCTTGCGGACTGAAGTCGCAGAGTGTTTCTTTTAACAGAATAATCAAAGGTCAGAGAAACTAGAAACATACAACCTATTCATACCAGACTATGGACTTTGCCTTCTGTGCTTGCACACTGCAGCAAAGAATGTTGCAAAATAGTCTTATGCTGTAACTAAAACATTCATAGAAATTTATATGACATGAAACATACATAATCATAATGGGAGAAATGATCAAAGCCATGGTATATCTGAATCTGCAGTATAACAAGGGCTTCCTGTACGTATGTACAGCATGTATGTACAATATACAAAATATATGTAACAGAATCCAGCCTCTTACACATCGGCCAGATCGTTTTGTAGAATACGCAATACAACCTGACTTGGTGGTTTGGTTAGATTACTGTAAATGAGAGGGTGAAATTGTCATACTGTACAGTTCAAAAGCAGACTTTCAGCCACCAGGAGACAGAGAATCCCTGTTTGATGAAATGTAGTTTCCAAATTTATATCAGTGTGACCCTCAGCCTCTTATCCAAAGGAAAGAACACAGATTGATGAGAACAAAATAGAGCAAAAAGAGATAACGTTCTCCCTGTGCTTATTTAAGCGTCATGCCATGAAGATGCACGAGGGAAGTGAATGGTCAGCTTCGTACCCTGGCCACTATATCTCCAGGGAGAGAGCCCATGGTACCCTTTGAGTAGGGCAGGTTGGGCCCCAGAATGAGTTTGGATGCCATGTAGAAGAGAAAAATCTCTTATGCTTGCCAGAAACTTAGTCCAGTATTCTCCAGTCATGCAGCCCTTAGCCTATTACCACACTGGCTGAACTGTTGTGGCTCCATTGAGAATGAAGTTTTCAAGAAAATATGGCAACTTAAAAAGGAGTAAATAACAGGAGCATGGGAAAAATTACGTAATGAGCTTCATAATTTGTACTATTCTGAGGTATAATCATCTAAATGGACTGGAGCCCTTCTTGAGAAGCTAATAGTTGCTCAGCTAGCCACGAAATTATATTTATGGAACCTTGAAGGTTCATTACCATGTTCACAGAACCCATCAGGGGTCTCTGTTCTGAGCCAAATGAATCCAGTTCATACCCTCGCATCCTGTTGTCCTCCATCTATGCCTAGGATCTTGCACATGGTCTTTTCTTCATGTTTTCCAACCAAAATTTTGTATACATTTCTCATCCCTCCAATGTGTGGTACTTGCCTCACCCATTCTACCTCCCTGATTTGATCATCATAATAAATTAGGCGAGGAATCCAAATTACAAAGCTTTTCAGTATAGAGATTTCTACACCCTTCTCTTACTTCCTCCATCTTATTTTTTTTTTTACTGCTAGTGGGGTGGGACTAAGTCCCTTGTACTGCGGCCACTTCTGGCCTAGTGTACCAGCCCCAGATGATAGGTGAGGGTGATTGTGGAGCAATTGGNGGTGTATGAAATGTGGTACACACAGGGAGACAAGAAACTAGCACAAAAGTTTAGTCATAAATTTTCAGGAAAAGAAATAACTTTGCAGACCTAGGCAGATGAGAAGATGATATTAAAATAGATCTTAAAGAAGTAGGATATGATAGTGTGTTCTGGATTCAACTGGCTCATGATATGATTGAATTATGGAATTTTGCAAAAACGGTAATGCATAGTCAGGTTCCATAAAAGTAAGGAAACTCTTGACCAGCTGAGCCAAAATGTACTTCGGTGTGTGTAGAAGTGAAGCAGAAGCAGTGGCACATGATTTCACATTTTATGAAACCGCTTGTTATTGAACTGTTTACAGGTACGGATCACAGCTGTGGATATAGATCCAGCCATGCTTGAAGTTGCCACAGAATATTTTAATTTGGTGCAAGATGAAAGATTGGATGTGTATATTAGAGATGGTGTCCAGTTCATTCAACAGGCTGCAGAGAAAGGTCTGAGAATTTACAGTACACTGGAACCCCAGTTTAAGGTGTTCCCTCATTTAATGTTCAGTTTCATAGATCCCAAGTGAATAATGTCAGTGTTAAAAGTTCCTACATTTAAGATTTTCCTCATTTCAGTGTTCAGATTCACTGATTTCCAAAGACTTAAATCAGGGTTTCACTGATACATTTTGTTGTTTAACACTTCATACTGATCACAGCTGTTCAGTGCAAGCCTGAATGTCTCAGTGAACTTGCAACTAGGTTTTCATGGTCTAAAATTGTGTCTTATGTTGTTGACAAGTTAATTTGTAAATCTATCAAATGCGACCTATACATTTGATAAACGTTTATTCAATTCACTCTTCATGTTTGTCTCTCTTAGGTCTTACTGACCTTTCTGGCCTAAGGTTTCTCTCATCCTGCAGTTGTATCTTATGAAGGGACTGTTAGTGGTTGTTTATATACATGCATGCTGAAACTTACACTATTGTTAAAATAATCTGTGACATGAATAAACCCAGATTTTAGAACGTCAGATGTGTATGTCATGTTTGATAGTGGCTGTATAAGTTAATTTTATTCTGTCATTATTTTTGGATCCATATCATGGCATGCATTCCTGTTTCCTAGAGAACTGAACTTTCTTGCTCTGTAACCATCCAAATGTCAGGTCAGAGATGAAATCCTCCAAAGTTAAAGCCCAAGGATGTCTGGTCAGGGCTACCACACACTTCAGGTAGTGTAGGGAGTGGTGACAGATGTATACGGAGTGACTCTGGAATGATGATTATCAGGGAAAACTGAAAAAAAAAAACACATTAATCTCACATGAAGACACCTACAATCGAGCCCACACCTCCACAGTGAGAACTTATAACCTAACCACCTGAGCTGTGGCTTCATCCCTTTCCTTAATCACATTCTGTATATACAAATGTCCTGTCATCAATTCTCATGTGCAGTTACATTTGTAAGATATCAGGTTTAAATCCCAGAAGGTCCAGCTGTTCTTATATAATCCTTTCGTAAGTACTACCTCTGTACCTCTCCCAAAACTCACATTTCATCTTTCATAAATATCCTCTCATTCCTTATTCAGCAATTGAAGGTGCACTGTTAAAGAAGTGAATAAAGCAATTACTTTCCTGTAGGAACTTCATTCCATGCAGTTCTGTTTGATGTGGACAGCAAAACTCCTGGAGATGGTATGAGTTGTCCACCGCCACAGTTCCTAGTACCCACGCTGTTACAAGATGTAAAGAAATGTGTAGGAGACAAAGGTTAGTGTTTTGTACCACAACTTACTTACTTATGGAGCTGAGCCATTCTTGAGAAGCCAAATCTGCAGCTACTTAAGAATTTCCCATCATTTTATGGAACCCAAAGGTTCATTACCATGTTCACAACAGCCATCCACTGGTCCAATCAATACCATCCCATCCTCTCTCTCTCGCTCTAAGATCCGTTTTAATATTGTCCACCCACCTACACCTTGGTCTTTCCAGTGGTCTCTTTCCTTCTGGCTGTCCCACCAATATCTTATATGCATTCCTCTTTTCCCTTTATATCACAACATATTTTGTTATTTGACATATCTCATAAGAATACAGTGAGCATTGCCACCAGCCAGTTTACTAATTGTCATACTCAGCAATTGAGATTAGAAGACAAAAGTTTTTATCCTTCTCATGCAGACACCCATATTAGAAAGCAGCTTAACAAACCTTCCCCTGCCTCTATCAATTCCCCATGTAGCCCCCCTCCATTCTCTTCCTGCTCTTATACAGCTGGGTTTACTCAACTTGACTCAGTCTGTTGCACCTGCTCACGCTGGTTTGCTCGCGGATTTCTTCTTGTCTTCTACCCTGAAGAGGGAGGCGATGTGTTCCTCTGAAACGTCGGTTAACACAATATCTACATGGCGCCACATCCCAGAAGATGGCTTCCTTCATAGTCACCGCCATGAAAACCTCAAATCTTACATAGCTTAATAAACCATTCAGCAGTCTTCCCCACTCTAGGCATCCTGCCCTAGAAAAAGCAGTCATATTTGCTAGTGATATTCTTTGTCTGTGAATTACTAGAAAGTATGTTAACTGGTATTTAGATGTCACCTGCAGCGTACACAATTTATTTAGCCATACAGTATGACAGTACCACTTAAACGGGAGCAGAACCACGTAAAGCAGTCCTTCACGTTTTGAATAAAAGTAACTGGTTTGTAGCATGAGAGCTTAGAAGTAAAGTCCATCTACTGTACAAACCAAGGTGCATCATATCTTGTGTAGATAACCTTATGGAAGGAAAGTTCTGTGTAATTTAACCACTGGCATATGAATGACAGAAGTATGCTGAAAATAGAATCTGGTAACTTTCTAATGGTGACAAAACAGTCTGTGACAGTGTCACGTAACTTCAAACAAGGCCCCGCATTCCTAGTCAAATCCCGCAAATAGCTTGTGGTGGGAGGAGTTTCTTAACACTCGTTCTTTCACTTTCACAGACCCCTTGTGTTTCATTAAAACTACCCTATTCTCTTTTCGAAGAACATATTACAATAATACAAATATATTGTCACTCGTCATGCAGAGAAAAATATGTTTAATGTGTATTACTAATTTATACTTTGAAAATTAAAATATAATAGTCATATGTAATGAAGAAAAGAATTTAGCCATTCGTCATGGAAGTACATGTAGAATTAACTAGTGTGTCCATGTTAAAAATGTAGTCTATATCGTGAAAATTAAAACTGGTCATACCTCGTATCTCTTATTTACTCATCATCTTCATCTGACGTTTCACTTTCCTCATTATCTGATGTGATGATTATATTGTCTGTCCTGGTGTCAATATCCATTTCCCTTGTGAAGTACTGGTCCTCTTGATTTTCCACTGTATTGCAATATGCTGCCCAGTCTTCTTAAATTTCTCCTCTGCTAGACACATTGCATCGTCCAACTTAAATGTCACATTCCTTTGGCCCACCCAATTTTTAACAGTGCCCCACACCATCTCAGTATGGTTAAGGTCTGGATGGTAAGGTGGGAGACGTATCACAGAGTGTCCAGCAGGAGCACAAACAGCGTCTAGTCTATATTCTTTATTATCTGACATGTTTTTTCATTATTTCATACAGGTCTGGTTTCACTGCCAAAGCCGGATACGAAATGTTCAATTCTGCCAACCACTGTTTCATATCACCTACTTTGGTATTTGAATTTGACGCTCTGTTTACGTCAGTATTATGGTAACTTGCATTGTCAATTATGATCACCGTTCTTGGAGGCAAGTTTGGAATTAATTTTTCCTGGATCCACTTCTCAGAGTTTCCAGAATTCATCTCGTGTTGTAGTCTCCTGTTTTTCTGCCTGACTTAAACATAAGCAAAGCTTTCTCGACAAAACCTTGCTTACCACCACCATGTACAATAATTGCTCATGGACCTTTGGCAACAGGAGAGGAGAGTGTTTTGTTTAGAGAGTCATCCCAGGAGTATGATGATGTGTGGCTACTGTGCAAGTACGTTTCATCGACATACACAATAGGCCGACCTTCTCTGCGACATTGCCTGATTGTCCTCAGATAATGCAGGTGTTTAGAATGGGTGTTATGCCTTTCAATCAATGTTTTCCTATTATCCCTCGTCCTTCTCCAGTGAAATCCAAGCCAGCGAACAATTATCCTGCAACTAGGAAGACTTCCTTCAAATTTTAGGTCTCTTACCATTTTTTTGTGAAGTTTGGGCATGGTAACTCTTTCGCCCTCTGTTTTATGAAAGTTGTAGATCATTCTTCTGATGGTGTCTTCTATAAACTGATCACTTTCCATTACAGGTTTCTCCTTCTTACGTTTCTTGGTCGGTGAGTCAAAGGAAGCGCCCTCTTCTAAGCTCTTTTCTTTCCGAATAAATTCATTCGGTGCAGTACGGCCAATTCCTGTAGCTTCACATACTGTTTTTTGGATTGACTTTAAGTTTACAGCAGCTCCACTATCTGCTAGTCTCTTTAAGTAATTATATACATTTGCAATTACTTGCTTTGTCTGTGAGTGTAGACCTAGACCTATACCCTGACCTAATTTTTTACTCATTATGTATGATTTAGCACACAAGGAAAGTGACGTTTTTAAACAGATGATAGAAAACCCGTAAGTATAACCTGATTCGAGGGTGCCTTACAAACAACTGGCCGCCTGTCACTTCTCACACCCTTGAACCCACCCCCTTGTCTGAAATTTTTCTTCTGCGCATTCAAGGTTACTCTTGGCCTTGTTTGAAGTTACGTGACACTTGCTATAACTGTCAGTGACATACCCTCGCTCCAATGGCAGATGAAGTGAATGACTTAAGAATGTGTAATACCTACACAGAGCCCAGAATTGTGAATTGAGATGTTTTCCAACAATGTTGCAGGCTTGTTTATCCTCAACTTGGTGTGCCGCAGTTCTAAACTCAGAGAAGAAGCAATAAAGAATCTCAAGGCTATTTTCAAATCAATCAGTTCCTACAAATTGGAACAGGAAGTAAATGAGATTATCTTTTGCACTGATGATGATATTGAAGAGACACAAACATGGAGAAGCAGCTTAGAAGCCGCTGCCAGGAGGGTAAATGCACTTGCAAAGAAAAGAAAGCTACACACAGGAGAGCTGGTAGATGTCACAAATCTTATCAGTTGTCTTAAAATCACAGCATGATTTCTTGTATCATAATTACAGTGTTATAGTGTAAATGAATGTTGAATGTGTGTGTGTTTACAGTACTTTTCATGGAATAAAGACATAAAATTTTTAGACGACTTTCCTTTCCTTAAGAATAAAATGAAGACGTGTGATAACATGATGTCTGTGCATGTACTTTAAATATCTGAACAAATTTCCCACTTTTCACAAAATTTGGTACAAACATTTTTAATTTAGTACACTCAATAATCAGAAAGTGACACTAGGGCCACTGAATTTAAGTCCTAAAATAATGTGTAATAATAGATCTTCAAAAGAAATGCGGAACTTTTGTTAGGTACAATTTTTTTGCAATCTAAAAAAATGACACGTCTTGATGACAGAAACTAATGAATGACTGGAGCTTGGCATGTGAAATACAGTATGACAATATATCATTAACATACTAATTTTGTATGAGATAATGTTTATAAATTACCAGTTACAAAAATTGCAATGGTATATATTACAAATATAACACAGACAAAATCCGTACTCCCCCAAATAATTTATTAATTCTTTATTTATGTGCTGAGCCAACAGCCACAAGGACAATTACAGACACAGCACAATGTAGATAAAAGTAATTACATACTGGACAACAACAACAACAATAATAATAATAATAATAACAACAGTAATTAAGGTGAAAGGTAAAGCTATCTCTGTAACAGGCTGTGAAGACCCACAGGTTTGTGAGACGCCGAGGCTCCCACATTTTCTCTAGACAATCGGCTCTCAGATGGTGGTAATTGTGTGAGCCGTATGCACCGGCCACCTTTTACCCCAGGAAGATTCCTGGTACTCAGTTCTGTTAGAGGCTGTGTCAACCCTAGTGTCATAATGCGGCTGAAAAGATTAGGTCAATTGAAAAATTCACCTCGTCGGGACTCGAACCCGTGACCTTCTGGCTTGTAGCATAGTCCCTCAACCAACTACGCTATCATGTTGCCCAAATAATTCAATTCAATTCAATAATAATAATACAGTACAACAATTTGACTAGGATCTGATTATATAACTCCAGTTTACCACCATGGGCTAAATTTGCATATCATTCTAGAGATATTAATTTATATTGTCTAAATATGACATTAACAATTCAAGATTTGTAGCATAGATGTCTGTGCAATAGAAAAATACCCTTTATGAGTTCAACCTGAAATTCCTTTTTTAAATCACAGACTTTTTAGGCATTTTACTATATACTATATTGGACTACAGTAGACCTACAAATTGTATATGCCAAAACATATTTTCCTGAACAGTTGTAGAGGAAATATGTATATGGAAAGTACTGGCAATATAGGCAGCACCCATGCCAATAGTAATAATTAGGTATTTCGTTTAATTTTATAAACTTATTTTAATTAAAACATAAAAAACGATCCAATTCACCTCTCCAAAGTCTCTCTCAACTTCTAAGGATGGCACTGACAGTTGATAGGGTCAGAATTAATGGGTTTTGAACTTTGTCCATCTTCCTGTAATAAAAAAAAAACACTAGAGAATACAATGTTGTTGAAACCGCATATTTTTCCCTCATGAGACCAGCCTTTGCCAATATGGTGATATGGTGTTTTGTCTTACTGTTATCCACATAACTTACTTGAAAGGTTAGCCAAATCTGGTTGTCATGAAACAAATACAACAAAGTTTAGGTCACTGGTGTGGTGAGACTGTTGCTTCATTCAGGGCCAGATTTCTAGCGGTGGGGGCCCCAGTCAATCAAAATATAATGGATGGGCCCCATCAGTAACAGATTTAGATTGACAGTTTTGTTATTTTTATTTCTTTTAATAACTAAAAATAGAAACTAACTTAGTGAGCTGAGAGAGGAGTAAATGTCTCAATAAAACCTGTAAATTCTATTCTGTGATCACCTCAGTCAGTCCCCCTCAAACTTTAACATACGAATGTTAGATATATCTAACAGCTGTGGCCGAATGTTAGATTTACGAGTATCTAACACCGCACAAGCACTCTCTGTGGGAGTGCTGACAGTTTGATCTTCCCACTGAAATCACAACAAATCCACGTACGGTGAAGTCAGTGGTTCATTCGTTAGCTGGTTTCGTTATTATTTACATTTAGATATGACTGTTTATGACTATTCTCAATGCCTATTTATTGCACAAGTCCTATGGCGGAAAAATTACACAAAAAATTCTGCAAAATTTGATTGTACAGTCACATGAGGTGAATATCCATTTCTCAGGGGAGATCAAGTTCATCTGGGGCCCAACTGAGTCGACTAGAGGTCAAACATTCGCAACATTGGTCATCCAAAGGTAAACAAAGACGTTTTTGTGTGTGTGTGTGTTCGCTAAATAAGAAAACCAGGAGCACCCTCTTCTATTGTCAAAAGTTGATGTTGGTCTCTGTGTCAAGGACTGCTTCAACCAGTGGCACACATGCGTCAGAGTGTGACCACTGAACAGAGTTATCATAAACTGTGAAGTGACACAGTTCATACTCGCATAGTATGAACAAAGGATTACTGTATATAGTGTGATTACGAGGAGCAGTCAAAAAGTTCCCAGAATGGTGGTATAGCACTCTAATGGTAGGACATATGGCAACGCTTACCTAATCACCTTCAAAGTAGGACCCTTGCACGCACACGCTTGCTCCATCAATCCTGCCATTGTTGGAAGCAGCGGTGGAAGGCTTCTTTTGGAATCTTCTGGAGCTCAGCCATCGCATTCAATTTGATGTCCTCCATGGTCCTCCATGATGTCCCCTTGAGGCCCATTTTCATAGTAGGGAACAGCCAAAAGTCACTTGGAGCAAGATCCGGAAAGTACGGTGGTTGAATGATGACAGGAATGTTTTTCTCGGTGAGGAATTGCTGCACAACAAGCGATGTGTGGCTCGGTGTGTTACTGTGATGCTGAAATCACTGTCCCTGCCATTTCGCGCTGCTTCCTCCAAACCACATTGCACAACCTCTTCAAAATTTGCATGTAGAAATGGCCAGTAACAGTACCAATTGCTCCAACTCCGCAATGGTCATTCTTTGATGTATTAAGCAGTTCTCTTCTTTCAATGTACCTTCAGACTATTTTCAGAATAACTTTCTTTAAAATAGCTTGCCCACTGTGTACAAGAGGCTAATTGGATGTAAATTTTAAGGAAATTTTGGATCCTTACTGGGTTTTGGCACCGTTATAATTTTTCTTTTCCCATGGGGTGTTGTCTACAAATGCAAGCTGAGCTTGTACTCTAGTCTTCATTCATTGTTCATGGTTTTCATCACACAGGTCATGAGACATGAACTGGTTTTCTAAACAATCCACAATCGCTCTGGCTATCTTGTTTGGGTATGTTATCCCTAAAGGGCCATGAATAATGGATGGCGCCTTTGGTCTGTCCCTTTTCATAAGTGATTTCACAACAGGCCACAGAGCTTGAGCTGTGATTTCACAGTTCCCTTCTTTTGTTCCCCACCGTTCAAGTGCCTTTCTACATGTCACCTCTCTAATGTTTTGGCAACCCAATTACCTGCTGTTTTATAGGTTGGATCCCAGGTTACTTGCCACAGTTTCCCTAACCTCCTCGTTATGTTTCAGCAGACTCTCCAGACCAGGTATATCCTTATTTAGGTCAGAGAATGTAAGTTTGCTAGTCAATATCCTATACACCGAACATATAAAGGCAGTAAAGTCGCAGGCTGCTTTATCACCTTCTTCCCCCAAGTTAATTTTGATTCTAGATGACATTAATTCAGAGGCCAGGCTCTGAAATTGCTCCCAATCTGTGAATATGTCAACCAGGTCTGAGAGATCTCTGACATCATCCAGTAAGTGGAAAGTGATTGGTAGGTGATTTGAGTCCACACTGTCAGAGACAATGACTTCTGACAGTCGGACATTCTAGTGCACAATATCAAGAATGTCCTGTCCCGTTTGTCCTCATTATAAAGCCTCGGGTAGGACCACATAGAAAACGGCGCTCACATCATGGAGAACACCACATCATATTCATTATTTACAAGCCATTGCATAGTAATGGCACCTTGATTGCTGACATCATATTATGTTTATGGGCCATTACACAGCAACAGCTCCTTATTTAATGACATCATGTGTTCACTGTGCCAGTGCCTAGCAACGGCTGTCTCGTCTGGCTTCTGTGTCACAGTATGTTGCTGCTTCTCTCCAAACAAAACATAAAACTTCCTAGAAAGTTATAAACTGCTAAGATATCTGTTTGTAAAGAATAATGGTGAAAAACTCAAGTACACATATGTATGCCATACGTTACAATATTCAGACATTACGCATTCAAAGCTTCAGATGATATACACTATACATTTACATAAATAATTTACCAAATATTACAAAATCTGTTACTAAGATCAGTAATTCTGGGAATGATTCAATATAGCCATTACTTTTATTGCAGGGTCTAGCTAATAGCTGTATTTACAAATATACCATTTCATGAATAGCATATCTTCCCAAAATGTTCTTATTTGATTTCAGAAGTAAATGACACTGTAAAAACAATGAAGCAATAAGTTAAAAAAGAATTGGATTTATTAAAACTGACAAAGAGCAACAATAATACAAACTTCATCCAACACTGGTCTCTAACCTCACTCTCCTCTTCAGTGAAAAGATTTTACATTATGAATATTCTGGAAGTATAATAAGCAGAACAGTATAAACTGAATTAGTGGTAACATGACGTGGCTTACTGACAATTTACTGCTTCTTCCACCATGATTATTTCTATCTTTTGTTTTGCTCAACAAGAAAATTCTGTGCTTTTTCATCTGAGTTTCCTGCAAAATGAAGCTTATCACACAGTGATCCAAAGTTATTTTTCTGTTCCTGAGTGCATGTAAAGGAAGGAAAAACTAAAAGTCAAAACATGATAATAATTGTGAGGTATAAGCCAAATAAATAAAATACAAAGAAAGGAATGATCTTTCCAGACCACAGTTTTCTACAATTTATGACACCGATATTGCAGGTATGATATGTATATACATATAACACTGCTATTAACTTTGAAGTTAGACAATTTACAGCACAAACAATTTTCTGGTCAAGGAAGAAAATACAGAATTAAAGTACTTGCCACATAGTCATTCAAGCAGGAAAGTTAAGCACAATAATCTGGTTTCTTCAGTAAGCAGTTTCAAAATATGACAGCTATACAAATAAACAGTTTCACATCCATTGTTATATGCATGTTTTGTAAGAATTCAAACGAGTTATAGAAAATTCTGACATATATTTATTTTCAGTTCTTGGATAACAACTTGAAGGGAGGTCTAGAATTTGAATGTCTGAGTATACTAAGAATGAGTTGTTTGGAAAGCTCTTATATCTACATGCATTCCTAACTTTATCAGTTACAGTTACAAACCAGTATAACAGGACATGCAAGTACGCACACCCCCAATTATGACTGAAGGGGAACACTGTGCCTCATGAGTGCAGAGTAGAAGGGCTTTAATAATGATTGGAATGATAACACTTAATCATGCCATATGCTTACTGCAACAGAACATAAAACATCAATTCAAAAGAACTTTTTCACCATCTTTTTAAGACCACTGCCACCACGCATTTTCTTAACATTGTTCCTTTGTGACCCTCCCAGATCCTGAGTTCCCCCTGACTCACTAGTCCGATCCAGGTCTTCAGATTCAAAATGGCCATTCACAGGATCTTCACTTCCATTATGCAAGGTAGTTGCAGATGAAGTTGTTGAAAATGGACCTTGACTAGACTTACAGGCAACACAGTGACTACTGTACCACTCCCAATTGTCAGATTTCAACTTTGCCTTTGGACTTTGTTCTAAATTGTTTCCAATGCGATTACTCCGAGCAGACATGGCTGTCTTCATAAAGATAGGTGATGACAAACGTTGCACTTTAGAACTGGGTCCAGTAGATGTGACAGATCCATTTCCTTGGCATAAAATGGGTACATTTTCACATAATTTCTCTTTAGTCTTAAACATCACACCTCCTTTCAAATCACCTCCCTGTGGCAGATCAATTGTTTGCTTTTCTGGTGGAGTTTCTGGTTCTAAAGCAGAAGATTCATATGAAGAACCGTTTAGCGTTACTGACAGAACCTCGTGACGTTGACTACGAGAGTGAAGACCATGGTGCTTTGTGACTAGAGGATCAGGCACAGAATGCTGATGCACTAAACCATCATCCTCCTCTGCTGCTGTGCCATTTGAAACATTCCACCACTTACCAAGTTCTGATGAGCTTGCACGTCGCGTTGCAACACTTTCACTCTCACTTTTCCCACAGTCTAGTACACCAGGCAGATATTCAGAAAATCTTCTACTAATTTGTGAACTGATATTTGCACTCGATGAGGATTTCTGTAGTCCACATTTTCTTTTTCGTCTTCTCCGCTTGTTTTCTATTTTGGGTATGGTGCCAGTGTCACCAACATGGGACTCAATGAGAAGGTCACGGTAAGTACCTTAAAAAAAAGAGAGAATATTGAATGTAAGATGTGAGGCCTTCACAGTGAATAAATAGCCCTAAATATTCTCAATTGACTGATCAACTCCGAAGACACAGGAAGTCACTGAAATGTTGGTTCTTAACTCAAATCTGATTTGCATCAGTGCCCAAGAAGATTGAAATGACAGATCCAGGCTTTTCATACAATGAACAACATGATCCTTGTGACAACAGAATTATATGTAACAAAACATCACAACACTTGAAAAATATACAAAATGCTCAGGGTGAATAGAATATGAATACTGTGGTCATAGAAATTCATGTTCCAAGTTTGTTTGAATGGCATTCATTTGCTTATTTAATAATGCTAAAGTAACTACAGATGTGAACCCAGCAGGCATTTCAGGAATAAAAAGAGAGAATATCTGAAAGACAAAATTAATGAACTTCCAAAGAACATAATAAGAATAAGAATATTAAGAGACCTGTATAGAGGAATAAACGAATTTTAGAAGGGTTACCAACCTAGAAGTAACTTACTAAAATATGAGAATGGTGATCTGCTTGCAGATTCCCACAACATATTGAATAGGTGGAAGAACAACTTCTCTCAGTTATTGAATGTACATAGGGTATGTGATGTTATGCAAACAGAAATCAGAAATCAGACAGAAATGAGCCATTAGTACCTGATCCTAGTTTTTTGAGGTTGAAATTGCTATTGCAAAGTAAAAAATGTATAAATCGCCAGGTAATGATCAAATTCTGACAGAATTGATTCAAGCAGGAGGTGAAACATTACAGCCTGAGATCCATAAATTGCTTGATCAGTGGAAGGAGTATACTATATTACTGTACCAATTTACAAGAAGGGTATTAAAACTGGCTGTAGTAATTATTGTGAGATCACTGCTATCAGCTTCATACAAGATTTTATCCAATTTCCTTCTCTCAAGGTTAAGTCCATATATAGATCAAATTATTGGGCATCATCAATATGGGTTTCAATGTAACAGATCAATTACTGATCACATCTTTTGCATTTATCAAATAATGAGGAAAAATTGGAGTACAATGAGACAGCACATCAGCTATTCACAGACTTCAAGAAAGCCTATGATTCAAATAGGAGACAAGTATCATACAATGTTCTCATAGAGTTTCAGGTACCCATGAAACTAGTCAGGCTGATTGAAATGTGTTTAAATGAAACACACAGTAAATCCATATATTTGATTTCGTTCATCCTGGTCCATCACACTAGCAATATTATAAAAGGTTAATCAACTCCAACCAGTGTGACTGATAAAATGTTTTTTCTATCTCTCCTTTTTACTCTCTCATCTGTGACATGTTTCGATCTTAGAGACCATCTTCAGAAGGATATATCAATACAGGTAGAAACTACTATAACAATGTGATTGGTCAATATCAATACATATGTACAATATCATCACAATATAAAATCTGAGCCATTAACATCTACAGGGATGTGCACGAATACATTAAAATATTTATATATCATTACAATTAGTCGTTTATAAGTGTGGTTTAGAAATACTTTGTTATTTTTTTATAACCAATTTGGTTCGTGTCCATATAGGGTAAACATTTGTCATATATGTTTCCTATCCAAAATGGTCAAAAAAAAAAGAGCTTTATCACCATTTTGCCTTAGAATATGCCATTAGGAAGGTCCAGAAAACCAGATGGGACTGAATTTAAATGGGATATATCAGCTGCTGGTCTATGCTGCTGATGTAAATCTATTTGGAGATAACACAGATACCATTAAAAGAAAGAGCAAGAAACTCTGACACAAGTAAGGAGGTTGGTCTAGAAGTAAACGCAGAGAAAACTAAGTGTATGTTGCTGCCTCATCACCAGAATGCAGGGCAAAATCATAACATAAAGAGACCTAATAGATCCTTTGAAAATGTGGCACAGTTCAAATATTTGGGAACAATGGCAACAAAACAAAATTTTATTCATGAGAATATTAAGAGGAGATTAAATTCGGGTAATGTTTGCTACCATTCATTCCAGAATCTTTTGTCTTCTTGTCTGCTGTCTAAAAATGTAATAAATAGAATACACAAAACTATTCATTTTTCCTGTTGGCATAAAGCTTTGTCTCTGATATTAAGGGAGGCACATAGACTGAGGGTGTTTGAAAACAGGGTGCTCAGGAAAATATTTGGACCCAAGAGGGATGAAGTGATAGAAGAGGTTATATGAAACTGCATGATGAGGAACTTCATAACTCATACTCTTCACCAAGTACAATTCAAGTGGAGATATGCAGGGCTTGTAGCGCATATGGGGCAGAAGAGGAATGTGTATAGGGTTCTGCTAGGAAAGCCAGATGGAAAGAGACACTAGGAAGACCTAGATGTGTGTGAGGATAATATTAAGATGAATCTTAGAGAGATAAGATGGGGTGGTATGGACTGGATTGATATGGCTCAGGATAGGGACCAGTGAGGGCTCTTGTGAACAAAGTAATGAACCTTCGGGTTCCATAAAACAGAAAATTCTTCAGGAACTGCACAACTGGCGGCTTATCAAGAAGGGCTCAACTCCATGGAGTTCGTTGAAGCAACTACTGGTGTTCGCGTCAAATGAGAAATTACAAAGGACAAGTTGGGAGCCATGTGGCAGAAATTCTCATGACATGGCTGTGCCACAGCTCAGGCAGTTGGTGTCAGTATTCCACCATGATGGTCAAGGTTCAATCCAAAATCTGGTAATGTGGCACTGGAGGAGGGGCGTAGGTCATGTGGGAATTGTGATGGACACAGTGGAAAAGGTGAAGGGAGCGGTCCTACAAAAGTTCAGCTTCCTCTTGCAAATCCTGATTCCAACAACTGCTCCACACTCATCTATTATCTAACATATCAATCATCATCATTCTGGGGCTGGTGCAACAGACACAATTGTGACTGGCATACCAAGTGGAACTCTACAAATCTTTACAAAAAGTATTCATGACACACCTAAGATAATGTCCTCACGCCGAAGTTGTGCAACTAATACTTCTAGCAGAAGAATATAAAGCTTCTATTCTACAGATGCAGTAAGTATTGGATGAATGAACATATCAGCTTAGAAACTACCACTATATACTGTCACATGTCTGGAATAACTACAGATGGTTTCTGAATTAATAATCACATTTGTTGGATTCTCTGATATAGTGTGTGAATACACTTTACAATACACTATTATGCCCCCCTCCCACAAACGCATTAGTGTCCACAGTCATGCCTTCACTAGCCATTGCTCAGTAGCAGCTTCCAACAGCGGGCGTTCCCCTTCCTCTTGGTTCCCGAACTATCCCTGACCTCAGCTACCAGCTTCTCACAGCAACAGCTCACAATGACCGAACCTCAGCAGTTCTCTAACTGACTCACTCACCAACCAATCCAAATGACTCTCACTAACTGTCCTGCTTATAACATCTCTGCACAGACCACACAGAAAACACTGTTCCATTATTGCTGTGCAATTGTTACCTTAGAAACATGCTTGCTTGTGAAGTCATTATTTAGCAACAGCTGCTGTATAGCTGCTTCTTTTGCGTTCGTTGCCTAGCAACAGGTCCACATGCCACAATATGAACAAACACTACGTAAATTTTAAATACAGTATTCAAAGTAACTTCTTTCATAACTGCAATTTTACAATAGACTTTTGCTGTACTGGGATCAGGCATGTGCTGCAAGGAGCTCAGAAGGGCTTGTTGAGCCCCTTCTTAATCTTCGGCCAATAATCCAAGCTATATGGAACCTTCTTAACAAACACTCACACTGTAATATGAAGTATGTACAGTATGTAATTCCACAAATTTATGTAATATACATGTATTGTTTTATTTTATCTAAAATTATTTAAGAATGAAAAAGAACATATTGCTTGTTCATGTGAGCCCCTTGTTAACAAGATGGCAGTATTCCCCTGATTAGGATGCACATAAACAGAAGTGAAGATGATAATCCAGTACTGAAAGTTAAATATATAATGGTCCTTACCAGAAATGTTCAGAGCTTCTTCACTAGGCCTGCGATTATGACTTTTTGGTGCTTCATGGCCACTAACTCCCTGAACAGATCTTCGGCGATTTGGATCTGTTTTACTCTCTTTCCCCCTTTGAACATGCCACCCAAAACTCCACTTACGTTGTGCACTGCCAACGTCTGTTTCTGGCAGGTGTCGGCAGAAATACAGAACAATTCCAAATACTAGCATTTCGATTAATATGAGGACCACATGTTGTATAATTACCTGCAAAATAAATCCACAAATTTGCAACTGTTCAAAACATTCTACAACAAAATATACTACTATCATTATACATAAGCAAAATCTTCCACAGCCAGCATTAGTATCATCTGTTACGGATTTTAATAGGTCTGTCTAAAAAATATGAATGTTAATATCTCTTGGTTGAAGATCCTAATGTGATTATAACTGTCATATACTTTTAATAGGTAAGTGACATTCAATAAAGGAATAAGAGCATTCATTCAGAAGCAGATAAAACCAGTGATCTGTATCAAAGCATATAAAGTCACGTATGTGTCGCATAAGCGAAATTCATGACAAAAGTCTTAATACAGAAGAAACTAACACATCATCCCAACATACATGAAAAGTAATTATCTGGATCTAACAATAATAAATAAAAGTGAACACCACAAAATAACTAAAAGAATGGAGGTGTGAGATTCTCACGGCAGTCACCATGATGATTTTGTGTCTTATGTGGTGTGACACTTTGTAGTTTGGTAGATAGTTACCAACGTCTCATAGCAACATGCTGTCTCCATCTTGAGGACAGCTACTCTGCTACATCACATCTCAGAAGTTAGTAATCTCATAAATAAAAACAAGAATAAATTTAGGATGTCCTAATCATTACTCAACTGAAAAACCTTCATCATCTTATTTAACTTATAAAACAGAACAACATATAATGATATTACAATTATTCTATCTTAATTATCAAGGTACAGAAACAAACACAAAAAAGAGATGTTATGATTATTCAGAAGTAAAGAAATATATCCAGAAGTATAACAGTCTACTAAAACGTTTTACACATGTTGTGTTGATGGCTGGACTTATATCTTCTCATTTATGGTAGCAATGTTGCAAATTATGTGAACCTTAGGATGAATATGAAAGCTGGTTTGATTACCATCTTCTTTACCTCATCTTGATCTTGAGCCACCACTGCTAATTGCTATTTTAATTCTTAGAAACAACATTCTACCATGCTAATAAATAGTATTCACCACATGAAAACATTGTGTATGTTGAAAACTACAAATGAGTATGATTTATAATAAATCTTCAACATCCTACCTGTGCCAGCCAAACATTTAAAAGTTTATATCTTTCTTCTACCGTTTCATTTGTAATAATTAAATATCAGAGCAGAAAAGATAAAGAACAGAAATAGAGGATTTTCTTTTTATACAAACAAGAAGTATTATTTTAAAAGGAATCTACTCCCATAACTGTTAAGTACTCACAGCTGCTTTATGCTGCCAACTGTCTCTCTCTGTAAGAAGCATCTCCACAGAAAAGGTTAATGTTGCTAGCTGTTTCTGAAGTGCCGCCATTTCCTCTACCCGTTTCTGTTCACGTTCCTCTCCCTTACGACTTTCTTCTGCCACAGCAGCAAGAGTCCGGTTGAATGCTCGCTGCATCTCCTCCACTTGCTTCTTATAACGCCTGCTAAGTTCTTCTAAATATTGTCCACTTAGAGACATATTACGTTCCAAAGCCTAATAGAAATACCAAGTAAATTTATACCATTTGGCACAGTATGTTTATTGTGACAGTAAATAAACAAATGACACCAAAACTTAGCAAAAATGTAACTTAATTTGTATATGGTCTCTTCTATATAAAACGTTCTTATGGCCCGTCAGGTTATACAGTAAACATTCCACAAGAGTAGAAGTTGTTTAAATATGATCCTTTCATTAATATCTCTGATAAAATCACTTACACCATTCAGAGACACACTGATTTTGCCTTTAACAACCTAAAACCTAATTTTCTGTGCCAATAAGCAATTATAACATCTACTATATACATTCTGAACATAGACTAAATGACAGAAGATGAAAGCAAACCTATCACATACAGCAAGGCAAAGAAACCTAAAATTCTTTTTTAATCATTTCTTGCATCCTGTTGTGTATTTAATTAAGAGTAGAGTGAATTTACCGACTACACAACACGTTTTTTATTATCACTACATGTTTCGACCTCAAGAGGTCATCCTCAGGTGTATAATTACACGCGGTCACATTCACTTTTCACTCATTCGACCCTGTATCTTATCCAGATTTATGCTCACTAATATATCGAGTTCTTTTCATAAAACACAGGTTATTTAATTGTTAAGAGTTAAAAGTTCGTGAATTGAAGTTCAATTCATGTCACTGGTTACACTTTCACTTGTTTGCAAGGTCTCGCTGTTCTTCCTCATTCTCTGATGCTGCTGGATCTGCATCTTTTAACATGAATAATCATATTTATTTTGCAAGAATTGAAGTTTTCACAGAAATGAAGTCATGTTGTGGTCTTCTGGATAACAACACTGTGTTGTAGTATGGTAGGCAGGTACCAACATTTCAGAGTAACATACTGCCTCTATCTACCCTGAAGAGGCACACAATTTTTCCCTCAAAAACACTGACACCTACCTAAAAGACTAGAATATGGTGCATAAGCCATAAGATCACAATACACATATTTATTTTGGTTTAACAAGAAAATCAGGTGTTCTCTTGACAAGTGGGTATACAGGAGACAACTGTAAAACACTCTTACATACAGAAAGTTTCCCTGAGTTCATATCTAATAAAAGTAAACAAAAGATGCCAAATATATTCATACCTTGATTCTGTTGGAGAGGCGAACAAAGACAGATTCCTTCTGAACTTGCTGTGTCTGTGAAAGGCTTGGTGGAGACACTGTTGTGGCTGTAACAGTGGCAGGGTTAGCAGAGGAACTGCCGCTGGTGTCCATTCCGATGTCTAGGTCTTTCAGTTCCGAAAGCAACGAGTCAAGTGAGAGATTTTCTTGACTTTCCTGGTACTTCTCCTCAAGAATTACTTCACTTTGCTTCTCATTTCCTCCTGACTGTTGCTGGTCACTTTCAGTCACTGTGGGGAGCTCCTCGGTCACCTCCACCTTTATAGATCCACCGTTATGCGCTGAAGTCTTTACCTGAGTCTCTACCCTCTCCTTCAAACTTCCTTCTGCATCTGTCCGATTCTCTTCACCTGGATAAACTGATACACTTACAGTAGAATATGCACCGGCAGGAAGTTCTTGAAGAGATGATACCTCTGCAAACACTGAGCTTTCCTTTCCTTGATCATAGGAGGTTTTCATTGTAACAGCTGAAGGGAAATCTTCCTTTCTATCTGGTTCTTTAACAAGCGTTCTAGTTGGTTTTATCTGAGATGCAACTGTTGTTTCTGCTGCTACAGAATCCAATGGAAGTGATGTAGCAAAACCTACAGTGTCACTAGCACCTGACAGTGATGAAGAACTGCAATGTTCCGATGTTAAACTTGACCCTAATGTGCATGTTGAGTGGTGTGTAACGACCAAGTTCCCGAAGTCTGATTCTACATTAGGAGACTTTCCATCTAAGCTATTAGTAATATTTATGGAAGTGGTTCCATTTACTTCATAACTGATGTTAAACACAACTTTCCTCTCAAGAACAGCTAATATGTTACAGAGAGCAGCAATGTATTCTGACGGTAATAAAGCTGATAAATATCTACTTCGATCTGATTTTGAGAGATCAACTCCACTTGCCGAAAGTCGTAACGGGTAAGGTGCACCAGTACGGTGACTACTGAAATCCAAGCCATATTCTACACAAAGTTTACTGCTCTGAAAGCTACTGCGCACAAATGGAGTCTCAATCAAAGATTGTAAGTAAGTCCCTCGGCAGCTGAGCAGTTCAAATACCCGACTGAACATGGCATCACTGCAATTGTCACACACAACAATATGACTTGGGCTGACACAGTTCTTACTGCCTGAGGCATTGCTATGGGACTTGTATATTTCCACATTAGTTGTTTCATTCTGAGAGTTACCACTTTTCACCAAAGCCTGAGCTGCTTTTTTAACTATACTCATAACTGCATCTTGCGCACTACCAAACAGAGTTTTTGGAAGTTCTCCTGTATCAACATCTAACGGTTCTTCATCGTCATCATCATCGTCGTCAGCCATGTTAGGAAGTGACTCATGAACTTCAACTTCAGTCTCCAAAACTTCAAATTCACTAGTACCATAAACTCGAAACAGGGAGACGGGACAGTAGTGCTCTGATCCATAGTGTGAATGTAGTTCTACTTTGATGAACTTTCCAAACAAATGAGGATCGAGGTTGAAGCTTTGTATGTCTCTCTCATCTTGAGCAGTAAAATGGCCAACACTCCTCCAGTCACGAGTGGGAAATCGGTCACTCAGTGACACAGAGAAATCACGTGGTGAGGAAGAAAACAGTTCAAAATTGGCCAAATCAATCTGGAAAAGAACCCAAATCCATGAATTAATGTATATATGTACAGTCTGGTATACAGTACTTAGTGCTGCCAAAACAAACTGACTATTGTAAAGCTGGCAAACATTCATAGACATACAGACATGGAATACAAAAAACACCTTAAAAGCCCCATCTTCAGTCATACACAACACATTTCTGTTATACATTAGCAAATTCAACAAAGACTGAAAACTTAACTACATAACCACGATATAAACAAACACATCAAGTATTGTAATAGTTCCAAGGTATACACAGATGTGCATAACCATGTTTAATAAATTGAACATTTTACACAGAGAATTTTAATGTAGTGAACACACAAATGCATTTCTGAGACTACCTACTGGGCTTCGCTGGACTAGACCACCAAAGAAATTCTGACATCACAGAAGGATTGAAAGTTATAGTACAAATATAGATGAATACAGACATTTTGCTTACTGATTACATGAAAGGATTCAATTAAATACTCAGAAACAAACTATGGGACAAAATACGGAACAAGGGACACCCAGACACTTGTGTTTGGCAGATTCAGGTAAAATAAGATCTGCGAATATGGACAACATTTTTAAAAGCAACCTTATTTGCTGATGACCATGTCACATCTTCAGAATCCAAGAATGATTTACAAACAGCTAGCTACTCCTCAGCTACAAATTGTAACAAATAGCTATAATCTGGAAATTTCAACAAAAAGAAAGCAAAGATTCTGGCTTCTAAAGGCAAATGCGCAGTTAGATGAAAATTTGCAATAAATAATACAACAACTGTACAAGTTCAGAACATGTCTCTGGATAAACATACTCAATGCAATAATATGTAATGCATTACAAATTTACTCATATGCTTTAGCCAAGACTAAAAAAAATAAGTAGCATAATCACATCTCAAGAATGGACTCTTCAACACTGACCCAAAAATCTAAGATCTATCAACCAGATTGCGGAAGAAATGTTGCGAGAAGATGGAAGGGTAATCTTTGAGATGAAACAGGCGAATAAAAGCAAGCCTTGAAACAGATGATGAGATACAAGGATAACAATGGAACTGGAAATATAATTTAGAAATAATGGAAAAATATCACCTTCCACAATTAGCATTCCATTATCAACTGAGGGAATTACAAGTCGACTGGCACAGTGATAGCAAGACTAAAATCATCCTGTGGTTCACAGGAAAAGATTAAAAAGAACTAACCCCACAAAATTAATAATGATTATGTTAATAGTGGTGATGATGATCATGATATGAATTTGATGATTCTAATGTGAATTAATATATATGATTAGGAAATAACAACTTGATAATCAAGAGCCAGGATAGCTCAGGCAGTATAGCAACAGGCTGTGGACTGGACAGCCAGGGTTCAATTCCCAGATGGGTCAAAACTTTTATCTTCTCCACAGCATCCACACTGGCTCTGCAGTCCACCCAGCCTCATATCCAATATGTACCGAGGGCTTTTCCCTGGGGATAAAGCGGCAGGAGCGTGAAGTTGATATTCACCTCCATCTAGTGCCAATGTCAAGAATGGTGGAGCTATACCCCAACTCATCTTCATGGTGTGGTGCTTAATTAATTAAGCACAGGGACAACTTTACCTATTAATTTAATAATCATTACAATATTGAATATATGTAAACTTTCAATAGGTTTATAATAATTAGAAAAACCTGAAGGTGGTTAGAACTGAAATATGTTGGGAAGAATACACATGGTATTATAATAGTAACATAATTATGAAGTCAACTTCATTAAAATATTTAACTCTCTAGGCCCAATTACGACCCCATTAAATACTGACACACACACACACACACACACACGAGCACGCAGACATACACACAAGTAGTAAAGTCCCCTTCCACTTTGAAGTTAGCTAAATTTCCAGATTCACTTTCAAAACATGATAATTAGCAAAGGTGAATCAAGTGGTTTTGTTCATCTTTCTTTCTCCTTTTTATTCATACTAGACACAATTTCTTTTCAAACACTTCTGCTGATGGTTATACATACCTTTTTAGCCTGAATGGCCTCACATAGTTCTACAACAAACCAAAAACGATTAGTGCACGCATTGAGGACATATTCGTCACGAGATGGTGAGATTATAGACCCAGCATACATAGCCTCAGGGTTAGTTCCAACAATCTTCGCTCCACAATCTGGGGAAGCATAGTTCTTCGATCGCACTTTTAGATTTCCACTGGCACGACTTTGGCTTCCTGCAGGTGGAGTTGTGGAATTCTGAACTGCTTACCATAACATGAAAATATAGCAATGAAAAATATAAAGATTTTGTGCATGAAAAGTGTCCAAGTGCAGAAGGTAATGCATATTAGTGTTCAATTGTTTTAAAACCTACCCTCACATCCTCAACACTACAACAGACCTCTGTTAAAATAAATCTATTTTATATAAACATTAAAATCATACAAATGCACGAAGGTAAGTCTGTGTAAATTATCTTGTAAAAGTATATGAAAATTCTGTAAAATATGGGTTCATGATATTAATTAATAAATTCAAAAAGCTAGATGATTTGCTTTGAATTTATAAATGCATATATAGTATAATTCTATATATACTAGAATGCTCCTACATTATGGAAGATGTGGTCTTGAAAACGTGTATGTACTGTAAAATTCTGCACAAAGACCCCTATTTTCCCACTAAAACTCATGATACAAATAAGCTGAGATGCATTCCATCACAAAAATTGTTCAAGATCCAGAAGCATAATAACAAACCTTTTATTCGTGAGAAATAATAGTAGGTATGCAGACATCTTAAACAAGGATATACAACACTGCAAAACCTAAAATAATATGGGAACAGCAGAGACACTACCAGCCATCCAGCTGCATTACTGATATATATGCATACGGAATTAAAATTTCTTAACAAATGATCATTTCTTTTGTAAAAATGGGCTCAATTTGTCGTCATTTTAAATTTTGTGTTTAAACAAACTTAATATTTAGCCCAAATTTCTGCAAAGGCGAATTTATGGGTAGTATCATGAATGTCATGGTCATGTTATATGATTTCTGTAGGGAAAAATGTCCACAACCCAGACATTAATAATGGGGGGAGGGGGCACTATAATTCATTTCATGTATATGTTCAAGAACAAGTGGCATAAATCGTTATGAAATTGCCTTCTACAGCACAAAGAACCATTAAATAAAACTTCACAATTTAGGTTTATCACAGTGTGCTTGTTCAGACCACTGTTGCGGTTTGTTCATATTGTGACATGACGCCTAAAAGCCAGAATAGTGCAGCCAGAGTTCATTGCTAGGCACTGACTCAGTAAATAGGTTCCCACAGCAACAATTTAAGTACTGTTGAGCTATAACGACAGAAACGGTGTGTTCTATTGGATCTGCCGAGGCTATACAACGATGATCCTAGGCCAGCTAAATCAGAACTGAGGAAGTCTCTTGAGATGACAGTTTAAGATAATTTGAAAGAAATGGCCAGAAAGGAATCAGGCTGTTCAAAGAAGAATTCACGTGTGCTGCAGTTACAGTGAGACTGGTGTAATTACTGTGTTGTTGAAATCCGTTGCCAGGATATGACAAGTGAAGAATGAGAACCCTAGTGTGTGAGGAAAGGTGAACTGTAGTGTGTGTAGATCAGTGATAGCGCTGTATTACTTGTAGTTAAGAGCTGAGTGTACGAGTATAAATGCAATAAATCCAATCAGCCAATCCAAACCCTGTCTAACAGTCACACCACCCATAAATATGTGACAATATTCTCATGATATTATGGAGTGACCATAAACGGGGGTTGGATCGGTAATTAGATCTATTGAATGCTTACAGATTGTAACTACAAGCAACTATAGCACTATCACTAATTCACACATTCTGCAGTTCACCACAGCATGTACTGTCCTCTCAGTCTGCAGTGTCTTCACCAGTCATTGTCTGTTAACGGCTTCCAACGTCACAGATCCCTGAACTTCCGTGTTCACGGCTTTACATCTTTGCTGGCTGTCGCCTATCTCAATGCAGCTCCCAAGCTGATCTAACTGGCTTCCAACTGCCGAATTCACAATGCACAATCGACTCCTTATGTAGCCTCGGCACAGACCACATGGAAAACACCTCTCCCAACAGTTCTTCCATTCTTTTATTACCTGGCTATTGCTCATATTGCATACAGAACACCATTCCTCTGCTACTGTTTACGGGTATTTGCTAGCAATGGCCGTTGTCTACAGAGTCATCACTTCGTATCAGGTCTACGTGCTACAACATCCTTTAATCTAACTTCCAGAACCTTGGTTGACCTTCACACAGTATTTCAACCTAATCTGACCACTTTCAGAAGAGTCAAGAAGCTTCAGATAACAACAAAGTGCCATTTTAGTAGGTATTTCCTAATAGCATAGGAAAATAGTACTAGTAAAGAAAGTTAAAGGCCTTTTGGACTTCATCCCTCATCAAATTCTCTTATATAGAACAACATTTTGCAAATAGCTTCTAGTGGGCATTATATGAAGAAATTCCTATCCTGTTGGAGCAACAGGTAAAGTACATATTTTTTCATACCCTGTCCACGCAGTGGCATAGTTGGTTGAGGCACTATGCCACAAGCCGGAAGGTTCAAATCCTGATGAGGTCATTGCATTTTTTCAATTGACCTAATCCTTCCAGCCACACTATGGCCCTGGGGTCGACTCAGCCTCTAACAGAAATGAGTACCAGGAATATACTTGGAATATTCTTGGGGGTAAAGGGTGGCTGACGCATAGGGCTGACAACCTTGTCGCCATCTATGAGCTGATTGTATAGGAAATGTGGGAACCTCAACATCTCACAACCCTATGGCCTCCACGGCCTGTTACAGGGATACCTTTACTTACTTTACTGTCCATCTGAACATGGAAATAAAACCAATTTCCAAAATGTAGCAGTTTCTATACAAAAACAAAGATGATGGGAAAGTACAAGATGATAGCATTAAAAGTTTATGTCACACAATCTTAAATAACTTGAAACATAGCTAATAAAGAACCCTCAGACTGATAAAGAAAACAGGAAAGAGAATATGCATTGCACTTAAATTGGTTAAACTGAAATCCCTTTGCATATATTAATGATTTAATGCATGAACAGAAGAGAACAGTAAAACACTCACTCTTTTTCTTTTCAGCTTCTGCCAGTTGTTTCTGTGCCCATTCACTAAATGATGGGATATCATCTGGTGCTGGGGTTTGTTCAGAGTCTTCAGTAGGGGATAATTTTAAGTCACCTTCTTTCGCATCCACTACATTCTTCGCACTGTCATTTATGACTGCTGCAGTTTCAGGAATATTAGCAGAATCAATTTCCTCCAACATACTTTCTGGTTTCTCCGTGTGAACTTGCAACTTCATTTCTATTACTTTTGGTTCAGCACGAACTATATATTGTTGACCCTTCTCTTTAAAGATTTTATCATCAACAGTGTCTTCTAAAATAGAAAGATTCTTTGAAGTCTCTTCACTATTTGTAAGTGATTCGTCTTCATCGGATATTGGTGGTCTTACTATTTGTGTTTCACCAGGTGAAGCATCCACGGTCAGATTATCATTCCTGATTCCCCTCAGGAGACCTTTTGTATGGTGATGTGATGGAGACGAAACATGATCTTGAAATTCCGCTGCGGCAGTATCCACAACGGTGAAGATCACACCTTGTCCAGTTTCAGATAACCTGAAAACATACCGGATTAATGACATCTACTTGTGGCGTAGTTGATTGAGGCACTATGCTACAAGCTGGAAGGTCACGGGCTCGAGTCCTGATGAGGTGGATTTTCCAATTTACTTAAACCTTCCAGCCACACTATGGCCCTGTGGTCAACTCAGTCTCTTAACAGAAACGAGTACCAGGAATCTTCCTGGGGGGATAAAGGACAGTTGGCATATAAGGCTAACAACCTTAATGCCATCTGTGAGCCAATTGTCTAGAGAAAATGTGGGAGCCTCGATGTCTCACAACTCTAAGGCCTTCATGGTCTTTTACAAGGATAGCAGATTTACCTTGTCACCTTTCACTTTATACATGTAATAGCACATATTAGAAATTGAAACAGGAATTTATCCTGAAACAAATTACATTAAAACACAAAATGACTTCAATTATTCTTAGTAAGAGCACTAGGCAACTATCATTCTTTACTCTTCTTGAAATTACAGATACCTTTATAAAACAGTACATTAAGTTTGAAATAAAGTTTTAACTAACTTTACCATTGGTAGAAAATAAATTAAGTGGCAATTCAAATTAGTGCACTTTTAAAAATAAATATAAAAGAGATGTTGACATTTTAATTATTATTTCTTGATTAATAACCTAAATTAATTTCAGATGCAGATGAGTAAATATGGTGAGCACTATCTGATATTTCTACATATAATCGAGATGCTGTGGTGTCTCAATTTCTGATATTTCTGTGCATGGTGAAGCACAACAGATCATTGGAGGTTGCAGTATGAGGGCCGGTTTTGATGGCTCACCCCTCATACTCATGTGCATGGGGGGGGGGGGGCTAGTCTCCATGATCAGTCATCACAAGTTTATTTCTTGTTATTTTCCTGGACTTTTCCAGGAAGATTTTGACACTGTACTTCAAAACAGGCAATACTCACTGTCTTCCTGGTCTGCGCCAATCCATTACAATCAGCAACACTGTCTCTATAAGTGATGAACCAAATATGCACAGCTTCAAGTTACTTTTTCTTTTTATTGCTAATTGCTAGTGGGGTGGGACTAAGTGCCTTGTACTGCGGCCACTTCTGGCCTATTGTACCAGCCCCAGATGATAGGTGAGGGTGATTGTGGAGCAGTTGGTGGAATGAAGATTGGCTGGGGAACCAAAGTACTTGGAGAAAACCTGCCCCAGAGCCACTCTGTCCACCACAAATACCACTTGACCAGACCCGGGATCAAACCCGGGCCGCCGCGATGGGAAGTCAGCGACTAACCGCTTGAGCTATGGTGTGGCCTTTCAAGTTACTTAAAGCAACTGATTTTACAGAAACTAAGCAAGCATCTTAAGTTGGCAATTTCTTTCACAGAAATTAAGGAAATTTCTTAAGTTAGCAATTATTTTCATGAAAGAGGTGTGAAGAATAGTAATAGAACATTTGGCATCCTAATGTAAGCTTAGCTTGTTTATATTTTCATACCCACTTTATTAAATTCAATTAACCATCACATATGTAACTGTAAAGAAAATTAATTAGAAAGTAACATTCAATTAATGTCATAAGGGATGTGCAGCATTATAAAGATCACCATTCACACATGAGTGAGGCAGTCCTCACCAGTCACAGAGCGGAGGAAATGCCCATACAATCCATGTGACGGTCAGGTACAGCAGGGCAACTTGCAGGAGGCGGAATGATGCCCGACGACTCCAGTGAAGAACTTGACGTTTGTCGCAAGAAGACAGATGTGTTGGTGGTGAGGCCAGCTCCTTCAGACTGCATACTGGCCTTACCATGGCCAGCCTGTTCTTCTCCAGTAGCTCTAGATGTCAAGCAATTAAAATGCTGCATTGAACTACCACTCACAGTTTCTCTGTAAATCCTACTGCATTTGGAAGTGATAGATCCCGTACCATCAATTACAGGAATTCTGATAACAGCAGTACTGCAAACCAAACAGGCAATTGCAAAATCACTTTTTGAAGCATCCAAACACTCATCAGAAGTTATGACCTAATGAGAAAATGGAACGCACTAGCTGACACTGCCTGTATGAAGTAGCTCCATAAAATGCTGAGCAGGCTGGCATACAGCATCTGTCTGATTAGTATTCCAAGAGCCATGGATCAATTATAAACAAATTCCGCCCACCCCAAAATTTCTTTGTGAGATTCCTATGTCACTGGAGGCAAATGTTAGAGCACAACTTTCACTTTCCCCACTACAGAGCATACGGTATTTGAAAACGAGTTCTTTGATGTGCCTTACTTACTTATGGAGCCGAGCTCTTCTTGAGAAGAAAAATCTGCAGCTACTCAACAATTTCCCAGCATTTTATGGAGCCCTAAGGTTCATTACCGTGTTCGCAAGAGCCCTCCAATGGCCCCTATCATGAGCCATATCAATCCAATCCATCCCATTCTATCTCTCTAAGATCCATTTTAATATTGTCCACCCACCTACGCCTTGGTCTTCCCAGCGGTCTCTTTCCTTCAGGCTTTCCCACCAATATCCTCTATGAATTCCTCTTCTCCCCCACTCGTGCTTCATGCCCTGCCCACCTCATCCTCCTTGACTTCATCATTCTAATTACACATCTTTAGTCATTTAATTGAAAAGACCGGTCTAGCGGTAACGCTCTAGACCAGTATTCTTGAGGTGTTCAGTTCGAACCTCGAATTTCAGTCACGATAACACTGGTGTCTAGCTTACGCAAAGACCACATCCTTCCAAATCTTTCCAATTCATCAACCATCCCACTACCCGAGAAAGACTGCGCTGGCAAGGACCAGCAGCATATATAGAAGACAGACCCGTCCTCTCGTTAGAGAGGGTGCCCCACAAAAGCAAGACCGTAAATGTCAAACAGTAATAAATATCTGCACCAAGACTTACTGACTTACCGTCAGTCGCAATGTGGCTTCGACTTGAGACCAGTTAGTTCGTATCCTACTAGAAACCAGTCAGTCGACGATGGCTAAAGACAGTTGAGCTCCGAGCAGAAGACACTTCACCGAGATTAGCGGTGCGAGAGTATAACACTGAAGAGGAAACGTCCGAAGACGCTACAAGTGCGAATAATTGTATCTGTGAGTGTAAAAAGTCATTGTCCAATAAACATATTTGTTCAAATCCGAGACCCACACAATTTCTTGTCGCGTTGCCTAGGAAATACATGACAATATAAATGTGACTCTTATATACTATACAACTTCTATCGCAAATTACTTGTTAGTTGTATTGATGACACAAAACAAAACAGCATAATTTACGTACCAAGTCAAAGTCAAAGTCCAAGTCACATTGCGACTCACGGTCAGTCAGTAAGTCTAGGTTTCGAGCCCCATTTGGAGCTCATGACCAGATATTTATTACTTTTTGACAGTTACGGTCTTGTTTCTGTGGGGCGCCATCTCTGACGAGAGGACGCGTCTATCTTTTGCATATGCTGCTGGCCCTTGCCAGCGCAGTCTTTCTCGGGTCCGAGTCCCTTAGTACTTTTGACAATATTTTACTGTCTCAGATTCGAGACTTCCCTTTTCGTCGTCTCCTACGACTCGCAGGGTCACGGTGGAAGTATTCGACCCCGCCTACACACGGGTGAATTTACGTACCGTGTAAAGTAACCAGTTATATACATAGCCTCGCCACGAATCGTACATAAGACACTGTTTCAAGCAGTTTTATTGATACACGCGTATTCGTTGCCACGATTATCGAGTTGCGGGGAAGGTGTTAGTTTACCGTTACCTAGCAGCGAACAGTTTCTCTTGTTAAACTATTCCATCATCATGTTACAATAATATTAGAAGTTCCAGGAGCAATTGTTGTCGTAATGACCGTCTCTTCTGACTGTACTACTCCAGCTTTCAGGAATTAGTAGGGAATACACAGACAACAAGGTGATCTCATGTGT